ACCACTTGACCACTTGCCTCTGTTGAACACAGGCCAACTCCGAAAGGCCACTTCTAGAAGTCTCGAACTTGGCCTTTCGGTACTGTAGCAGCTACGACTTTGCCCTTTCAGGTAAGTAGCAGCTACGACCTTGACTCTTCAGGCATCCTACAGCTACGACTTTGGAACTGTCTAGACTCCTACCCTACAGGTCTACAGTTCGATTCCCTTCTAAGCTGYGACCTACGAAACCCTGCCTACCACTGGCGATCCTACAGGTCGCGGGTTCAAGTCTACGGGTTGACATCAATACTGTACACAGGTAAGATAGGGAACTAGGGATCGAGCCCTGGGATCTGAATTCGCTACTGCGAACTGGTGATTACCGTTTCAGTGTAAAGACAAATAAAAAAAAAGAAGACAGTTCTATTGAGTTCCTTGTTATCTGAAATTCGTTATTGTGAAAGCAGCGATTCTCAGAACTTCAAAAAAAAAAAAAAAAAACAGTATCCCATCTACTTCAGGTAGTGTGAGTTCTGGGGGATAGTCTCGTGGTGGACCAGCGGAGGACCACCTGTGCTGTCATCCACCATGGATGACTATCCCATGCAGGGAATTCTGGCCCTCTCTGTACTGTTGGGCCCTCTCTTTAGGGTCTTCTTTCCACTGGGCTTTGGCCGGGTATGCTCCTCCCATATGATGATGCGGTCTGGGGGTATAAAGCCAGGGCTCACGCCTGCAGAACAGGCGGAGATCGATCGCCAGCAGGCAGATAAGAAAAAGGAGAAAGAAGAAAGAAAGAAAAAGAAAGAAGAGGAGATGAAAAAGAAGACGCAAATGGAGGAAGAAGATCTGAAGAGGAAACTGAAGGAGAAGATGGAAAAAGAGTTGGAAGAAGAATCGAGGCATATAGAAGAAGAAGAAGAAGAGGAAAAGGAGGATGAAGGAGAGAAACTGGAAAGGCGCCGCAAAGATGTGCCTGACAGCAGCCGGGCTGGAGGGAAAAGATTGCAAATTGCGCCGCTGGACTGGTATGAGCAATATTCATACACCAGCAACCAGGTGCAAGAATCAGAAGAAAAAAGGGATGTGTTTATTGCAAAGTTGGCATCCATTGAAGATCAAGAGCTGCAAAGTTGGCATCCATTGCAAAGAGAAGGACTTGCTATTGCAAGAAAAGAGGGCCGAGTTGCATAATAAGATGCTTGCAGTGAAAAGGCAAGAGCTAGATGCGAGAAAAAGGCTGCAAGAAGAGGGGGAGCGGTTGCAGAAGGAGATACAGGAACAAAAGAAAAAACAAACCACCACGGAAGAAAAACTCGCTCTCCTAACAGAAACAGTCCTCCATACGAAAGAAGAGGTTGCAGCAATAAACAAGACCCTGCAGAAAATCGAAACGCATCAGTACGAATTCAAGGGAGTTTGGAATGCGTTTTTGCAAAAATCAGCACAGGATGTCGACAAACATATCCAGTCCTACATAGTCAAACTAGATGAACACATCAATGAAACCTTCACTCCGGAAGTTATTGAGAAGATAGTCCGAGGCAGCGGCGGAGGAGGCGGTGGAGATGGAGACGGAGATGGGGGAGATGGAGATAAGAAACAGAAGGGTCAGGGGATGTGAGAAAGATAAAGCTAAAACTTTCATTGACATATAATGGGAAGAAGGTATAAAGTGTGTTGCATTGGATTGCAGCGGTCGAGTCCTATGTCTATGGACAACGGATCCCTTATTGGGACCGGGTGCTGATGGCAAGTTCCTGCATGGGAGGAGATGCCATGAGTTTCGCAATCTCCCTGCAAAACGAAGCGGGTTGCGGATCCATGGTAGAATTCTCTCAGCAAACCCGCATTGAAGAATTCCTCAAAGTTGTTAGAGAACGGTTTGAGGATAAGAACTTGGCCAGGAGGATTGAGATGCTGGTCCTAAGCCTTCCGGATAGGAAGTGGAAGAGCACCTCCGCAATGCAACGAACATGGATTGACCCCAGCTCAGATACTAAACAGTTTTGTCTGTGCACTACCTGACCCCCTTCGTACTTTGTTGCATCCCCGTACTAAAGAAGAGGGGATGACCTACGAGAAGTTCAGCAAGATCACCATAGATCATGCTGGCTTCTTGGCTGAGGCCAACTACTGCCACTATTGGAAAGATCTGCAAGCAGGTAAGAGATGGCAAAATCGCACAATCTTTGGGACTATACCTGGGAAAGACGGCCTCCTTCTGACCTTTGAAGAAGGAGGTGTCGAAACATTTTCTTGGGACCAAGTAGACTATGGTCTTGAGGAAAGACCCAACGGTCCGGTAGCCCAGGAGGGGAGCTACGCGGCCGTTGCAGCCCACGGGGGAGGGCGCCAAGGAAGAGGACGTGGCCAAGGAAGAGGAGGCCGCGGACGTGGTGGAAGAGGACCCGGTACCTAGAGGGGTGGTGGCGAAGGTAGCTAGTGCGCGGGTGGAAGGGGTAATGGTCCCTCGCAAGGTGGCCGTGGTTTCAATTCTGCCTGGGGAAGAGGAAGAGGCACGTGGTACAACAATTGGGACAAGCCATACCCACCTCATCCAGATCTACTCGAAGGGGAACCTTGGAAGAAACTGGGGATCACCGAAAAAGTTTGGCAGGAAAGGAAAGTTGTCGACCAGTGCCTTAAATGTGGGGACCTCGACCACATTGTCCCTTATTGCCCTGACGACAAGATGGCAAAAGGGAACAGCCAGTAGAGGTCTCAGCTGCCTCTACAGGGACTTCGGGTGTTGAAAAAAAGGAATCCTCCCATTCGAAGGTCCCATTGGCAGAAACTGAAGAGGTAGGCAGTCCCCATCTAGTACACTGTACAGAGGTGGCAATCATATGCATTTCTCTACATGGATCCCTCGCTGGCGTGGGTGATGAGTTAGCCGCTCGTCGCCAAGCCTGGACTGAAATGAAAAAACGTAAAGGACAGCTAATAATTGCAAATCTAGAAGTGAATAAAGTAAGAGTTGGAGGAATGATAGACAATGGATCTACACTTAGCTATATAAGTAAGAAAGGTTTGCAAAAGCTGCGTCTCGAGCTTAAGGTAAAGCAATTGGTTGAGCCCGTAGTAAGTAAATTAGCTAATAGTACAGTAACGGTAATGGATAG